AGATTTTGAAGATTAAATATATTTTTTTCTTTAAATGTTTTAATTTTTTTTTGTCAACTTCGTAATATAAAATGGCACATTAGCAGAGCTCCAAGATGTTTTCTGAATGGAGGCGAGTGACCCGCTATCATCACTGTGAGAATCAAAGCTCTCACTGTGTGTGGTCTGGACTACAACAGAAAATGTCAGCATCCCACAGCACCCAGATGTCACATACTGATTGTTATAGGTAACTAAGTTTCCACTTTAAATGATAATTCTACAAAAAAAAAAAATAAATCAAAAATAGAAAAAGCGCCAATAAAAAATATAAACTGTGTATATAGCAGCAACACCCCACCAAAAATTATATATAATAAATTTGGCAAAATCAACAATATATCAAATAGGCATGCGCTAAATATATATATCACCAAATAAATAAGTGTCCATATTAAATCTGTGCAAGTCCAAAAAATCAATCAAAAATCCTTTGTGAACTTGTGAATAATCCACCACCAAATGAATTAAATTTGGCCCCTTGATGATGTCGTGGTGACGAAACGCGTTGGACGTGGCCTACTCTTAATCAGCGATACACAGCAACTGAGCAAACGAAGATCCCCGCTCACCGCGGATGACCTCCAACACACATTGGGAACAGAACGTCCTGACGTCAGCATCGAGTAGGCCACGCCCAACGCGTTTCGTCACCACAACGTCATCAAGGGTCCAAATTTAATTCATTTGGTGGTGGATTATTCACAAGTTCAAAAAGGATTTTTGATTGATTTTTTGGACTTGCACAGATTTAAATGATAATTCGATTTCTTTTAAACAGATATTCAGGCATTCTACACCACTTAGTTAATATGTCCTAAGTCCTGCCCTACATCCATGTGTGCTCCACACTGTAGCTAAATCTATGCAGGGCCAGCCTACTTTAGCAGTTGATGATCACCCGTGACTACTTGAGTGCCTTGCAGCAAAGAAATGATCATTTACTGAATACATTAAATCAGATCAGGTATGTAAAGCAGGTGGCTTCCTTCCTTGCTTGAAGCAAGAGGATAAATTTGCAGAGTTGCTTGGATGACCAGAAAGTACACCTATTGACAATGTATAACAAAAAAATACCCACAAAGTTATTTCTGGAGTGTTGGCATTTATTGCAAAGACTAGTTTACATTGCTTGTGTACACTGAGCACTTAGAACAGTCTCCTTCATTAATCCAAGTTACAAAATACATGAAGTACAGTCAGAGACGGGGTAACAAGTGTAAACATTTGCGCCTTGCTGGCACAGTTCCACAGACACACACAAAGTCGCATACATACATACCTACATACACACACAGACCAAAAGAAGATTGCACTTCAAAAGAAGAAAAAATAAAAAAAGGAGTTAAAGATGAATTTCATCACTTCCTAAATTAGTGTTTGGAGATCCATATTTGATCATGTGACTGGCTGTCAGAATTCACCATTGTGAGCGTACAATCATTTTTGTGGTGCATTACTGAACTCTACCACACTAGGTGGGGTGAATAAGAAAGTCTACATGGCGTCCTAGTAGATTTTTTTTTTTTTTAAAGTGTTTGCTTGCTTGCAAGAAATCTGTCATTTCTGACAATGTTCTGTCACGTTTCTACAACGGAGCATGTAGAAAAATACATTTCTCCATTTTAGCCATTTAAAGCACCTAGGCATGAAAATGACATTATCAATGAAGAATTGATATATTCTATAGGTTGTATGGTTACATTCCCTTTTCGGGTGGTCAGAAATCGACTATAACTGATAAAAACGGAAAAATTCTGATTGGCTAGCCCATGAGAAAAAAAAAAAAAAAAATACGACAAATCCCAGAATGCACTGGTTAGGGCAGGTCCTAGGGTTAAATGGCTATATTCTAACCCATCGCTGCCAAACCGATTGGCACTTGTGAGAAAGGAGCTGGCCTCCAGTTATGGCAGGTTAACGGTTGGTAATTGACTCTGTGTAAAACAATGTACCTCACCTTCCTTCACATTAACATACAGACCAAAGATCAGATCATTAGGCATTAAGGCGCAGAGTCCGATGCAGAGAGGTTTGCATTCTAGGATTGGTATCTTGCTCCAAAACAGCCCCACTTTTAAAAATACAGAAGAGACAGCCAAGCCATTTTAGTGAAATAAATGCAAATTTCTATACATTTTTGAGAAATTAAATATATAGTGTTTCCAGTTTCAAAAAAAATGAGACGGAGGGGTTAGCGCAGAGGTGGCGCCTCCATGACAAAGCTAAAATACAGCATTTACGTGGTGGGTAAGCAACTCCATATTAGCGGTGGGTTATTATGCCACAATTCCTGGCCAAGTGACCATCGCTTCTCCCGGGAAATTGTGTGATAAGCCTCAGTCATAACAGAATATTCTAGGTGCCTAGTGTGGTGAACGTTGGATGGGCCCACAAAACGGTTCCACAATGGCCAAATCTGAGGCCCATGCTACGTGCCTTCACGGGAGTAGTGCATATTCTTTTTCTACCCTAAACCCAAAAATTTCCACAGTCTGAAAAAACAGTTTGACATGGTCATCTGTTCAAGTAACAATCCCCAAGCAGGACTTAAGGCTATTGTTTTTTGTGTAATTAAACATACTAATGGTCAAAGTAAGTTACTTAGGCCTTACTATTTCAAGAATGTTGGGTCATTCAAAGTAATAGTAGAAGACAGAAGTCTGGCTTCCCTAGCAAGATCTAAATGTAGACTTGTGGCCATCACACACAATGGACAGGTTTATGAAACCCAAATGTGTTGCTGGCAATGGTGTCAATGTTTAGGACTGCAAAGTCCAAGTTCATAAAAAAAAAAATTTTATTTGTGGTCAACAGTCACCTTAAGTTTCAGAGTCACTGCCAGTTCAAGAGCCGCCAAACTCCATCATTACTATGCATACGGAAACCATAAAACTCCACTGATGGCTTCTAAAGTTTGTTAAGGTAATGGAGTCTTATAGCATTAGATATGAGCTTTTTTTCCCTTCACATTTTGGTAACTACATTTTGTTTTTTATCAGAGAAAGAAAAAAACAACTCAAGCTGGTTGGAGAGTGTCATCCTTTACAAAGCCCTCTAGTATTAGGTGATATTCTCAAACGGACTATAGGTGCCATTTTGAACTGGCTCAAACAGAAAAAAAAAAAAAGATAGGAGAGAGAGGAAAAAAAAAGATAGCAAAGCTATCTCGTTCATAATTCAGGCTGTTTCCGATAGGTCCTGCATACTTCAAATCAAAATTGAAATCTGACCCAAATGCATAAAACAGACCAGAAAAAGCACTCAAGTCACAGGGAATGTATGCACAAGGAACCAGTCCAACAGGAAAACATATGACTAGAGGACTCATCTCTTAACAAATACAAAGCACCAGCATTGCACAGCAATAGAAACAGCTTAAGTCTGTCAATGAAAGATGTGAGCCTTGTATGTAAACATTTTTTTTTCTGGTGGCCATTTTGAGACAGGTCCAGTGACACCCCTGTTGACGTTCGTATCAGCCACAACCTCTTTGAGAGCCCATCAAACCTCTCCACAAAAAAAAAGAAAAAAAAACAAATAATTAATCAATGCCCAATCTAATTGAAATGTGTTATGTCATGTCCTACTGGCACCGAACAAGTTAAAGTGTCATTTAAAGGTTAACGAGGGGGGGTAGGGAGGGTGGGGTTCTCTTTACATAATATATACAGTAATCAGAAGGCAACAAAGCATCAAAACAAATACATAGGCTGATGACAGTGTAATAAATGTAATATAAGTCTAGCATCTATTTACAACCAATAAATATTTATAAAGAAAACATGTAAAAAAAAAAATCAAAAAGTTGTACACAAAAAAAAATGCCTTTCAATGGGTCTGACCAACTTCACAGCCACTGCCGGAAAATAAAGGCTTAAAAATATCATTTGGCCCCAAATTACATTTTTGTTGTCCTGGCAGAAAAATAAAAATGTTAGTGAATATATACAAAGTGAAATGGCTGTACAGTTTAATGCAAATGATTTAACCCTCTAGCTTGCAGCAAATGGCAAAAACCAATTAAACTGCTGCCACATGGCTGAAAGGTAAAGGGTTAAACACATGGTGGTAAAAATCGAGCTGTAAATGGTTCTCCTGTGAACATTTTCTGGTGTTGGATCTTTGGTGTGACTTGAAATGCTGGACTGCTCGAAGGGTAGGAGAGAAGATGGGGATCATAACTGATTTACAAGTCCTCAGCTCAGCTGTCGGCCATTTTTGTTTTTCTGGCCACGCTAGCCTGGCTTGAAGAAACCCTGCAGTGGTGAAGGGGTCCCATTCACAGGCACCTCCAGCTGTTAATGGGTTAAAAACATTTTTTTCCAGTCTGTTTTACAAAGTGCTTTTTATAGAAAACTTGCTAAATAATGGTATCCACAGGGAGATGGTGTTAATATTTACATGAGAGTCCCTTTAAGGGAAAAGACAGCTAGTGGTGGGGCCAATCAGCCTCTCACAGCTTTGCAAATCTGTAGTGAATCACATTACAGATTATGTAGTCAACTCCAAACCCAATCGGGCTACTCCATATTGTCTGTATTAATACTGGATTCCTGGGCATGGCACAGGCTGGTTAATGTCCTACTTCACAGTCTCCTTTGCAGAAAGGCCTCTACCTCAACCCCCCTTCTCTTGAAGGCACCTAAGGCATGGAGGCGGATCCTGGGTCCATGAAGAAGTTTAGGGCTTTTTGGAGGGGGAGTGGCACCTGAAGTTGGTTAATGTTGGCCAACTTTTTGAATGGCTCTAGTTCATCTTAGAAGACCAACAAGTTCCACTCTTGACCTGTTTGAATGCGTATCATCCTCACGGTTTTAGGAAACCAGAAATAGAGAAGGCCAGTATGTTTGGAAGAGAGAAGGGGGTCAGCTCACGCCCTCCACCCACGGTACACGTAAGTGCTTTCCTTTAGGTCCCTCCAGCTTTCCGGCTGGGTTACAGTTGGGTAGGTCAAGATGTCAGAAAATGCCTTTGGCAATCTTAAGTCCTTTCTGCTTCATACGGGGCAGCGTGGAGCTAGAGCCATGTTTGATTTTCACTCCTTTGGAGAAACCGCGTTTTTTCAGAATAAAGTCATAATTGGCTCCTGAGTTCATGGCGTAGAAGACGTTGGCATTATCTGGTATCTTTAATTCTGGCGAGGGAAAAAAAAAAATACAACTTTAAGTTATTCATCAGTATCAACCGTTCAGAACAGTATCATTGCATATCATTTTCATATTTGCTTGCTAATGCAGGTTTTAACTACATGTATTTTGTGCATCCACATGCTTTGTTTTTCCTTTTTATGCTGTGCAGTGGATGAATGACTTTGAAGACTTAACATTTACATGAAATTGCGGTGGTCTCATGAGTCACTGAATGGCTGCTCTCATCAAATACAAATCACAGGCATTTCGTTCAATACAGAGTCTCTTTAAATGGAAGCTGCAATGGTTCTGGGTCAATTTTTTAAAACTTACAAATGTATCAAATGATGTGTTATATATTTCTATTATTTGTATACAGACTTTTTTTTTTCCTCTAATTTACCTATGCAGTGCAGTGTGTGCTGAAAAACAGTATGGCATGCACTGCTGCTGCAGTGAATATAACTGAATGAAATGCCACTGTGACAGAAAAAAAGAGGATATTGTGTGATGCGCTGTTCTCAGCCCATCAGCACCACTCCTGCAGGGTATAACAGTAGGTTGAAGTACAAACTCAGTTTTTGTCTGACTCCTCTGACACCCGATTGGGCTGCTGGAGGATAGATGACCCTGTGTAAGCGATAAGTCATGTTTATGCATGGCTATGGACTCTTCCCATGTTGCAGCGCTAGGGCTTAGTGATAGGCCTAAAGCTGTCAACATGGAGAGAGTCACATACTTCCCCATACCCAGCAGTATCAGATAGTTAATGCACCCCAGGGAGCTAAAAGAAGCGACTGACTGAACAGAATGTTAAATGTTTTGGCAGATATAAAAAGATTTTGTATGTGTATTTAGCTTTACTGGTCCTTTTGAGTAGTTTATACAGGACCAGTAAAACAGATCCCATACGCAAAAGCAGAAGCAGTAAAACAGATCCCATACGTAAAAGCAGGAGCAGTAAAACAGATCCCATACGTAAAAGCAGGAGCAGTAAAACAGATCCCATACGTAAAAGCAGGAGCAGTAAAACAGATCCCATACGTAAAAGCAGGGCAGTAAAACAGATCCCATACGTAAAAGCAGGAGCAGTAAAACAGATCCCATATGTAAAAGCAGGAGCAGTAAAACAGATCCCATACGTAAAAGCAGGGCCAGTAAAACAGATCCCATACGTAAAAGCAGGGCCAGTAAAACAGATCCCATACGTAAAAGCAGGAGCAGTAAAACAGATCCCATACGTAAAAGCAGGAGCAGTAAAACAGATCCCATACGTAAAAGCAGGAGCAGTAAAACAGATCCCATACGTAAAAGCAGGGCCAGTAAAACAGATCCCATACGTAAAGCAGGGCCAGTAAAACAGATCCCATACGTAAAGCAGGGCCAGTAAAACAGATCCCATACGTAAAGCAGGAGCAGTAAAACAGATCCCATACGTAAAGCAGGACCAGTAAAACAGATCCCATACGTAAAGCAGGACCAGTAAAACAGATCCCATACGTAAAGCAGGACCAGTAAAACAGATCCCCCATATGCATATGTCAGCTGTGTATTCAGCTGCTTTGCTGGAGTTCAGTTTTAACAGAGCGAAACCACTGATGTCACAGTATTTGGACAGCAGACAGACCGGTCATTACTGTATAGAAAGTTTCCTCTGAGCCTTCCACTTCTGATTTATTGTCAAACAAAAATCAACATTCTTTTATCGAACAAGAACAATGGAAATTCCTTTACCTCTTTCCTCTGATATGATCTGAACCAGCTCATAGTCTTCTGCCCGCTCCCCATCCAGGTTATGTTTGGCCATCGCTTTTCGGATCACCACCGGCGTTTTATCCTGGCTTGTCACCTACAAGGTAATGAAAGACATAGTCAAGCAAAAAAAAATACTGGCATCCAAGCAGTGGTATCTTAAGCTATTTAAAGCCTAACTCCAGGTTTCATTTTAATCGTAATTGTTTCAAGTCTTCCTTTACTAATACATGCAGCCGCCGTGAGTGCTGTATAAAAACTGTGTCGTTCCGCTACATACAGTATACAGTGCTGGCTTGCGGCAGCAGTACAGGGATTTCCCATCCTGTTCCCAAAACAAAATCCTCTGATTGGCTGAGGAGGAGATCGTGATGTCATCTGCTCACCTCAGCCATTCACAGGAAACCTTGTATTCGTTCATAAAATACAAAGTACGCACAAATGCCCCCATAGTAAGCGGCTTGCTATGGGGGCACTTGCAGAAGGGAGAGGCCAGTAACGCCAGAAGAGGAGATTTGGGGCTGATCTGTGCAAAACCATTGAACAGAGCAGGCAAGTATAAGATGTTTGTTATTTTTAAAAAATAAAAAGTGAGAATCAATTTAACCACTTCCCATCCACCATATAGCAGATATACTGCTACAGGGTGGAACGGATGTGCAAAATCACATATATACACGTGATTTTGCATTTCTGCGTAGGGGGCCTACCTGTGCCGTTATTCACAGTCGTCAATCACTGAGTCCCGGCCAGTGATTGCCAAGGATCTCAAACTGAAACGGGAGGGGGTATGGAGGACTGTTAGTAAACAAAACAGTTCTCCTCCCTGTCAGCTCGAGCACACTGCTTTCCATGCAAAGACAGGTGCTTACAGTGAAGCACACAGACACAATCCTCTAGTAAAACACACCCAGCACACAGGTAAACCTTTGATTGCCCCAGATGTTAACCCCTTCCTGCCCAGTGCCATTAGTACAGTGTCAGTGCTTTTTATCAGCACTGATCACTGTATTGGTGTGACTGGGGAGGTCGTGACACCAAGTCAGTTCCCCCCAGTGTCAGAATGCCTGCTGCAGTCATGCTATAAGCCACTGATCGCCAGCATTAGTAGTAAAAATTAACAAAAAAAAAAAAAAGAAAAATCACAGTATGTGTGTATATATATATATATATATATATATATATATATATATATATATATACATATACACACACACACACACATATATATATATATATATATATATATATATATATATATATATATATATATATATATATATATATATATATATATATATATATATATATATATATATATATATATATATCGCCATTTGTAAATGCTATAATTTTTACGTAAACCAATTAATTTACACGTATTGGGATTTTTTTTTTCATAAAGACATGTCGCAGAATACATTTTGGCCTAAATTTATGACGAAATTTGATATTTTAAATTTTTTCTACTGGACATGTTTAATAGCAAAAAGTCAAAAATATTGTTTTTTTTTCTGAAAATTGTCAGGCGATCAAATACCACTGAAAGAAAGCTGGGGGAGGGAGAAAAAAAAAAAGGACGTAATTTTTATTTGGGTGCAGTGTTGCATGACTGAGCAATTGTCAAAGTAATGCAGAGCCGTAATGCAAAAAATTACCTGGTCAGGAAGGGGGGGGGGGGCTTGGGGGGTAAATCCTCAGGAGCGCAAGTGGTTTAAGTAGAGCTAGGGCCTACCCAAACAATGCATTCAATTTAGATCTAATCTGATAGGCCCCCCACACACTAGAGCGTATAGTGTGTGCGCCTTGCTCTGATGATGTGTCAAGACTGCTTGTATTAATACGATATAGTATGTAATGCCTTGCACTTGGCTGGTTACTATAGCAAATACACTCTTTTCGTTTTGGAGATTTAGCATAGGTTAAGGATCGCTCACCAGAATGCTCTTGTACATGTTGCCATTATCCACATCTAGGCTGACCCGGATGATGCAGCAGTCGTCTATTTGCTGGTTGTAGAGCGGGAGAGACAGCGAGGAGTAGCTGGAAATGCCAGAGACCGACCGTTTGTGAGTCCGTGAGGCAGAGACAGGAGTGGAGGACACAGAGGAGGAGGAAGCACTGCTGGAACCTGAACCAATGCCAGACGTGTCCAGAGATGACAGTGATGTCGATTCCCAGAACTGGGGAAAAGAATGTCACGTCAGGTACAGTTCTGAGTTGTTGTTTTTGGATTGCAAGTTGGTTTCTTGCATCTCTCAGGCGTCCTGCGGTGAGATATCCCCACCAGAATTCCAATTATTCCCCACTTCCGGTACAAAGGCAAATATTTTGGGAAATCATGGCACCTCATTATGGTCTTGTGGGGGAAGCAGGAATTCTTAGAGCAGTCTCCCACCAAATGGCACTACACTTTAGAGCAAAACTCCAGCCACAACGTTGTCTTGGATGGAGTGTGGAAAGTTTAGATTTCTCTTTTAATCCTGTATGGTCACTATAAACAGGAAATTCTCCCCCCCCCCCCCCCCCCGGAACACAGACAGCAATAAAAACCTGATAGACATTCTAACCAATCCACACGCTTTCCAAACTTAAAGAAATGTTTTGGATGGAGTTCCAACTTTGGTGTACCAGCGAATCTTACCATGACTCGCCTAGTGACATACTACAAGACAAAATGGCTTCCATATCCGTAGCACACTAATCTTTTTTTTCTATGGTGAACTGGATAGACTTTTGTCTTTTTTTCAGCCAGACTAACTATGTAATCTAAAAGCTCAGTAAAGCCAATCTACTTTTATACAGTGTTTCCCAATTTTACAAAATTTTTGTAATGTTGTAAAGGTTTTTATCTTCATGTATATGCTTTTGTGTAGTTTAGCTTTACTGGCCCTTTTTTTTATTTAAACAGACAACACAAACATCACAAACATTTGGGCTGGAAAGGAAACTAATCCCTGGAAACAAAATGTAAAGGCTATGCACTGACTGGTATTTTTAAATCTTCGCTTGTAAATGACAGTCTAAATAGAATCACATTTACAAAGCATTTAGCAACTTTTAGCAGGAATTTGCTAACCATTCAGTAAAAGGTTCTGCCCAGCTCAGCCCAGGATTCCCCCAGAGCTTGCAAAATGCCTGCTGAAGCCCACTGAATGCCATCTGAAGCCTGCCAAAGCTTGCTAAATATCTTGTTATTGCTACAACCAGCATCGTCTGCATTCATTGTTCCCAGGCTGGAGCAGAAAGAATTTAGAGTGCTGCGGCCAAGCCGTCTGACACATTTTCATTAGCAAAGATTACAAATACCAGTTTGTTCCGTCATCTTCATGTTTAGGTCCAACATGCAGAATTCTAACGTGTTTGATTAAACGTGACAGAATTTTAATTTCTTAATCCCACTGAGAATATTGTAGGACTTTAAAGTGTTTAAACACCCATTAATGTCACGTTTTTTGGATAGAAATAACACATAAAGAATGAGTGCGGGGTTCTACGTTGGACTCGTTTGCCCCCCAAGCTGCCACATTTTGTAAGGGTGTAGTTTCCGCCACACACTGAACAATACTAGACAATATGTTCTACAACGCCTTCCACACAGCAAAGCACAGAGAGCAGGGACTGACCCCCTCGGAAGCGCAGCGTTCTGTGGCCTGTGCTGGCGGAGCCTGCGGTGGTTCCTCTCGTACCTTCTTCTCCTGACAGTCTGGGGACTCCGGCACAAAGCTGATGTTAATTTCTTCCACGTCGGAACTGCTGGATCCGGCTGACGTTACACTGACTGAGTCGGTCATGTCGCCTCCGCAGAGGTGGGGGCTGCACTTGAGCTGATCGAAAGACTTGGAATGGGAGCTGACGCTGGCGCATGGCTCTGAGCTTGGTGGCTGCCGGCTACGAGAAATAAAAAGCCCCGAGTTAGGCTAAAATCTTTCACAGTGTTTAATAAAAATGTGACGTAGGAGATCAAAACAAAGGTTTTATGGTTACATCTGATTGCTGCCCAATCTACTAATTTACATTTGCCCTGTGAAACTGTTGGTTTGTTAAAGCCAGTCCTAAATATCTAGGAGATACAAAAACATCATTTAGTCCAATTATGTGTTTAACAAATCAGGCAAATTGCATTTTCATATACAGCAAGGTTTGTTTTCCTAAAGACAAAAAGACTATGCACTTTACAAAGTGCAGTTGCTCCAGAGCTTAGTAAATGAGGTTACGCTTCACTTTGCAAAGAATACCCAATCACGTGTAAAAAAAAAAAAATACTATTTCCTTGCATATGATTGGATGATGGAAGTCAGCAAAGCTTCTGATCATTTACTCAGCTCTGGAACATCTACTCTTGCAGAGTGCAACTGCACTTTATAAAGTGCGCAGTCTATTTGCCTTTAGTGTCCTCTAATCCCTCGCAAAGTGGCATTCATGAAAAAGGGAAAGTATGACCTATCCAGGCCTCCATTGCTTTGCACACTGTTGACACGTTTTTATTTGCATTAAACAGGGTTTGCTTTTCCATACAAGTCTTTGGGAATGCAATAACCTGCTTGAAGCATATCAAATCAGAAAGAGGTCAAATTTTGAAGCATCTCAGACTGAATGTCGTCAAAACAAGTCTAAAGCCTACCAACACAGTCCCTAATAGTATGGATATGCTTACAAAAAGGGAGAGCAGACAGATGGCTTAGTCAGTGTGCTGTTGCTCTTTGCTGACTGGTGGCAGGTCCTGGACCAGCTATATTGCTTAACTGCAGTTTAGTCTACAGGGAGGTTCAGGACTCTAGATATGTCATCATCTCAAGGGTTTTAAAATGAAATCCTCATTTTTAACTGCTTTCCCGCCGCCCTACAGCAAATATACTGCCTCAGGGCGACAGAAGTGCACAGAATCACGTATATAATTGTGATTTTAATTTCCGGGTCATGCTATTTGTGGCCTCAGCTGTCAATCACTGGGTCCCAGTTTGTGATACACATGCTGACACACGGTGATTGCGGAGCACTACCAACGGAGGAAGAGAACTATACAGATCTCTCCCCTGTCCGTTCCTGCACAGTGCTTTGCATTATTCTGCATAGCAGAGCCATACAAAGCAATGTGCTTACAGTGGAAAGCACTAACACAGCACCCATAGTAAAACAGCACAGTTAACCCTTTGATGGCCCCACATGTTAACCCCCCTCCTGCCCAGTGCCATTAGTAGTGTCAGTGCTTTTTATTAGCACTGATCACTGCATTGGTGTCACTGGGGATGTCAGTGACACCAAGTCAGTTCCCCCCAGTGTCAGAATGCTGCCACAGTCCTGCAATAAGTCACTGATCGCTGCCATTACTAGTAAAAAAAAAAAAAAAAATCCCAATATATATATATATATATATATATATATATATATATATATACACACACACCGCCATTTGTAAACACTATAACTTTCATGTAAACAAATTAATTTACATGTATTGGGATTTATTTTAGCAAAGACATGTAACAGAATACATTTTGGCCTACATTTATGACGAAATTTGATTTTTTTAAAATTATTTTACTGGACATGTTTAACCCCTTGGCGCCGTCGCCTCCCGGCCCTTTAAGAGTTCAGGACTCTAGATATGTCATCATCTCAAGGTTTTAAAATAAAATCCTCATTTTTAACCACTTTCCCGCCGCCGCCCTACAGCAAATATACTGCCTCAGGGCGGCAGAAGTGCACAGAATCACAATAATTGTGATTTTCATTTCCGGGTAATGCTATTTGCGGCCCTCGGCTGTCAATCACTGGGTCCCGGCTGGTGATACACATGCTGACACACGGTGATTGCGGAGCACTACCAACGGAGGGAGAGAACTATACAGATCTCTCATCAGTTCTTACACACTGCTTTGCATGTCCGGTACTCAAGGTCCCGATCTCCTCTTGCGATCGGTATCTTTCCTTGAGTACCGGACATGTGTGTTGGGAGCGCACAGGGGCGCGCGCTATCAGCACATATGTTTTTCTTAATTGCACACAAATGTGTGGCCGCTCGGCATCAAGGCCCAGATGCCGGGAGGTTAATAGCAAAAAGTCAAAAATATTGCTTTTTTTTTTCTCAAAATTTCTCAAAAAAAAAAGCACAGGCGATCAAATACCACCGAAAGAAAGCGCTTTTCGTGGGAAAAAAAAAAAAAAAAAAAAAAAGGATGTAAACTTCATTTGGGTGCAGTGTTGCATGACCGGTGCATGATCAGTTAAAGTAACGCAGCACTGTAATGCAAAAAATGGCCTGGTCAGGAAGGGGGTAAATCCTCAGGAGAGCAAGTGGTTAAAATAAGAGAAAAAGGGCTGTGTTCTTTTAACTCATAATTCCATGCAAACCAATTATTTTTTTATTCTTGGTATATTTTTATTACGGTATTTTTTTTTTTTATCTATTTGGTTTACCTCTTGAGAACAAACTGCATGGATGTGTTGCATCCTGGGGGTACTTACTCGCTCCATCTTTTTATGATCCCAGTGTTTTTCTTGGCCTTCAATGTGTTACTTGCCGATTCAGACAAGGGTTCGATTTCACAGGATAAGCTATAGCTGCAGGAACAAGAAAACAATATATACCTAAGAACAGGAACCAGTTAAGGTGCTGAAACATTACGATTACAATATTGCCACGGCAATGCTATGATAAGATGCCAAGCACATCAGCGCTTCTTCTACACTGCACAATATTCACCTTTCAGCCTCCGTCAGTCGCTCCACACTATGGAACCATTCAACAAAGGAGTCTTCAGGTATGAAGCTGTAGTTGTTACAGGCCGACTGCAATAATTTTATCTGAGCAATAACTTCAAACTCCTAGAAAAGCAGAAACAGTATAAAAGATATAAAAACTGTCTAAACTTTGATATATATCCTTAATATCCATATCTAGAATTACCAGTAATAGGCAAATATTATTCACAATGAATGGGGTAAGCTTAACAGCAAAGTCCTAATCTGCCTCTGTAGTAAACAAAACCATTTGGTACGTCGATGACGTCAAGCCGCAAACCGGATGTGCATGTGCCGCCCTTTTGGATAAGGGAATCCTGCACTTTATTCTACAGTTACACGGTATAGTGAGTTTTTACCCTGCGGTGGACACTTTTAAATGTGAGTGTATTGGATTATTTTAATAAAGTCAGTTTTATTTGGCAAGACTTCACTATATGGAGCATTTTTTCTTCATATTAATATACGGAAATCAGTGTCCCAACAAATCAAAAACCCTGTGAAAAACACGTAAATCACTGTCCCAACAAATCAAAAACCCTGTGAAAAACAAACACTCTAAAGAAGTCTTACTTTCACCCTTGAAAGTATAAATTAATTGGCTAAATACCCTTCTTAGTGTTCATGTAATAAATACCCTTCTTAGGTGTTCATACAATCAATATAAATAATAACAATTTTATCAAAATAAACAAAATATAGTCTATACAAATTTCTTCCAAAAAAAAAAAAAAAAAAAAAAAAAAAAAAGCTTATGAGGAAGTCAAGGAAGTGTCGAAACGCGTCAAGGGACGTGACGTTGTCTGAGAAACCGGAAGTAGCGGAGCGGCCATTTTAACTGTGGGAAAAGCGGTTGGCATTCCTGGAAGCTGCTGCAAGGTGGTTCATGGGATATTTTATGGCTGATACATGGCATTTTATGTAAGCATTATCAATAAAGCATGGAGTTATATCTTTACATACTACACTATACAAATCTTTTTTTCTCTATGAATGAATGTACTGGAGTCTTAAAGGAGACCAGAGTATCGATAAGAGTATTGGGGAATCAGAAGGTATCCACAAGGTCCTAGCATATCTATATCTGTACCCTCCATTGGAGATATATATAGATATATATATATATATATATATATATATATATATATATATATATATATATAAAGGCTGACTTATTACTTATTTGGGTAAGGATATGCAATTCAGCCACATTAGATGTGTACACTGAGTGTTCACTGAAGTACTTTATAAATACACAGAGTGGTTCACTATCACATATTTCACAGGTCACCACGTGTTTGCATGATTTATGCGTTTTTGCACGAGGCCTAGAAGGTTTTTTTTGTTTAAGTATTTATGATATTTTGATGAATTTATATGAGGATAATGCACTATTGAGTTTTCTTTTATTTTGGAGGTACACAGCACATACTGGATTCATATGGCGAGTTTTTTTGGAAGAAATTTTTATGGACTTTATTTGGTTATTTTGATTATTTATATTGATTATATGAACACTAAGAAGCGTATTTAGTCAAATTTTTTTCATATGTTTGTGGATCGTTCTGGAGATTTTAAGTGCTGACGGTGGTGAAGATCTTGGTACAAATTTACCCTCCTGGGCAGGGGCGGACTGACCATTTGGAAACTCGGGCACTGCCAGAGGGCCCGGGGTCAGTAGGGGGCTCCATGAGATGTCCCTTGTACCTTTTTCATAGGCTTTTTTGAGTTTCGACAAGGACACAGGGGGCCGCATGATCCCCTATTGCCTGGGGGCCCCATGAGTTGTCAGTCTGCCCCGGGTTAAAGGTAAAAGTGTAGTTCGACCTGGTATTTCGGGTCAAACTTGAAGGTTAGCGCAATAGTGTGTCAGAGGTGGATGAGCACTAAGGGGTGACACGGGAGCACCGTACATGTGTATACAGTAGCGTGATCACATAGACTCACCTGGAGTACAGCGGATTTAAAGGGACGGTTCACCATTATTTTGAACCGCTTATTGATGGTATATTTGGTATACGATGCACAGGAGATATACCGCACAAGCACATGTGAAGATATTGGGAGTGTTAAAGGGACAGTTCACTATTTAGAACAGTTCATTTGATATTTGTGTACACTGTTCATTATGCACTGATATATGCAGTTTTATGGGTATTCATATGTATGTGTTGATATATTTGGTGTAGCACACATTATGGTCACTAAGCACTATTTTTGTTTTCACGATTCGTTTATACACGTTGGATATTAGTAGCACCGTATTTGAGTTCATAGTACTGCGCTGCAGTTTTTTGATTTATGGCTTACATGTGGGAACACAATACATGCTAGCTGCAATATTTGACTCATAGGAGGTCCATTGCGCTGAGGGTTTTTTCATACACAAAACCAAGACTCACCTTGCGTCTCTTCTCGAAGTTTATAAGGCCACCCTGCAAAAAACAAAGAGTTCATCAATGAGTGTTTGTAATAAATAAGCCCACTTAGAGCTACCGCTACCTCTAATGGCTACAAAACCTTGCACCACTGCCATGCTAGAATTAACCTTTTCTGTATAAAAATACTTCTAATGTTCCTTTGCCTATGCCAGGTAGATGTGCAGAAAACCCCAATGTCAGCTTCTCTGGCTCAGCAAGCTTGGCAGGTCTAAGCCAAGAAAATCATTTACCTCCCATGATGCATTGTGAGCTTCCTTCTCTTTGCGCAGTTAACATTATGTAGAAAGGGAAGACTGAATTATTATAGGGGAAGGTGCTAGCACTTGTACTCTATATCTGCAAATTTAGTCATTTCTGCAGACAACTTAAAAACCGCATCCTGCTTGTTAATAAGAGCCAGAAATCGGCTTAAAGTACACTTTTGTTTAAAGCTAAAGGCAGGCAGTTATAAAAAGACCCAAATATTGCATTGCTGTATTTATTCATACAATCATTAAATTTATTTTTTATATGTAAGCAGAGCAATAACCTGAATTCAACCTGGTATATGTTTTTTGGAATCCCCTGCACAGTACAGACTGGCAGACGGAGAAGCAGCACCAGAAGCCGATCAGCTGTGGTGCAGTGCTCATGTGTTAACAAGGGACAGGCAGACAGGAGAAGAGATCAGAGTGACACAGAGATGAGCTGATCCATGTGTTGCCTCTGCATTCACGGACAAGGCACAGTGCTGTATACCAGAACTGTGTAAATCCCAGATCTGGATGGGCATACATATAAATATTTTGGAAGGTAACGCAGCATTCTTAACCACTTACCTACCGGGCACTTTTACCCCCATTCCTGCCCAGGCCAATTTTCAGCCTTCAGCACTCATAGTTTGAATGCCAATTGTGGGGTCATACAACATTGTACCAATATGAAATTTTTTGCATTTTTTTCATATAAATAGAGCTTTCTTTTGGTGGTATTTAATCACCGACTTTATTTTTTGCTAAACAAAAAAACCTGAAGCTTTTTGAAAAAAAACACACTTCTTTTTCTTCGTTTTTTTTTTATAAAATTTTGCAAATAACATTTCCTCATAAATTTAGGTCAAAATGTATTCTGCTACATTTCCTTGGTAAAATACCCCAAATATATAAATAATAGTGTATATTATTTAGTCTATTATTTAGTCTGTAGGAAAGTTAGAGTCCACAAACTATGGTATATATATCTGACAATCGGCCAATCTCATTTCTTGAGGCCCGAAAACACCAGTAAGCCAGTAAGGAGAGAGAGGGGGCGGGGCTGAGCCGCAGCTCTTTTCATTAATAGGCTTGCAGAGCAGCGGCTCGGGAGCTACCCTGCTTGGGTGCCCCCATAGCAAGCTGCTTGCTTTAGGGGAACTCAGCAGGAGGGAGGGGCATGGAGTGCTGGCAGAGGACCCGAGAATAGGAGGATCAGAGCTGCTCTGTGCAAAACCACTGCACAAATCAGGTAATGAAATACTTTTTTTTTTTTAATTGCCTTTAATATCACTTTTACGGTTTTCTAGTGCTGAAAACCACATATCTGTGCACAGGTCCTTATTCATCTTTCTGAAAGCCCCAGGAGACCCTGATAAAACAGTGCTCAGTTTCTCATTTCTAAAGTCGTAGCTGCCACAACCCCTTCCTGTAATGCAGTCTAATCAAGAGAGGTTTGCACATCAGTGGGGATGTAAGCTGTACCCTGACTTTGGAGCAGTCAGTATCTGCACATTGAGAACTCCAGGATTCATTCAGGAAAACAAGGAAAAAGTAGTGAGTATCAATACACATTGAATTGAGAACAACCGCAAATCAGCCTACCTCTAAGTAATCCTTCATTGCAGTATCCAGCATGACCAGGTCAGTAAGGAAAGTGCCTAGATAAGGGATGGTGCCCTGCATAACTCCCTGTGAATATAAGATGTATTAACATTAATGGACACTAGAGGGAGCAAGCAGAAAAGTCATCCCATTTGCAGAGGAATTGCCTACCATTTCTCGCTGCTGCTGTTGCCTCTTCTGTGCTCTTTTAGGGTTAAGATCCAAAGTTGCAAATTTCGAGGTGCCCTCCTGCAAAGATATCAGAAAGAAAAGAAAATGAATGGGAGAGTTCTATATGTGCATATGTGAAAGAGAAACAAAAAAAAAAAAAAAAAAAAAGGAGCATTAAATCACAGAAGAAAAAGAAAAACATTCTTAGTGGGGAACTCTTGGCTGTTAACCCGCCAAAAACCACGGACTGCCTGGGGCTGGAGAATATTAAACAAGCCATGCCCTCCCACCCAACAGACCTCTGACTGCTCGCCAGACCCCTCAGAGCAATGCAAACTATGCATGAGCAATTGTTTCACGGCGATATGGTGATAATATGAGGAATTCACGTGAAAGGCCGATCCCAGGTTTGTAACCAGGCCAAGAATAGAATAACATTTATGTCTCTGCCCTAGCTGCGTAACAGAGATTAAAATGTGTTTTACAAGTGGCGGGCAGCTGCCTCTGAGGTAGTCAGTAGTGGGAGCAAAGTATTTTGGGAATGTGAGGCGAAGAGCCTGGCTGGTGAATAGCTAGGTGCCCACTCAGGATTCGGGAATCTTGTGGACCACAACACATTCATCCTCATTCTACAAAGACAGCAGCTGCTTCTAAAAGGGTTTTTAATGAGACACTTTTGATTTGCCTCGAACGAGCAAAAGTGACAAGTTCAAAACAAAGTTATGGTGCACCGATGTCACTTCTGGAAATCCCCAGGCAGCTCTCTGGTCTCCACTTTAAATGGGCATATCCATTTTGAGAGAACTGATTTTTTTTAAAAGAAAAAAACAAATTACAGATGTTTCTCAATACCCTTGCATGCACTTTTATCTTCCTTGTGCCTCATTCACATCATTTATTAACAGGGGCATCATCAGATTCTTGCAGCAAGAATATGCCGATTCCTACACTTGAAATCACAGGTATTTGTGAACAGCTGCAGCCAGAAAGCCAGTACAAGGCTTTGACAGGCTAACTGGAGCTGTGGCTGTCCATCATTGGTCACATGTAATCACACGTCAAGCATGTTACCTGTTGTTAGGGACAGATGATTGGCCTTGGACGCAATCTGTCTGCATCCAGAGCGTGTGAACATCAGTGGCTGCTGTGACCCCGTCATTGCTTTGTACAGGCATCCTGGCAACAGTTGTTTGCAATCACCTGTGATCAGAGCCACAGGAATCCGCTGATGGCCCTATTTCTAATAGGCCATATTAGACGGGGAGAAAACCGGCCGATTTTTCGTCCGGAAAAAAAATTGTCCGATTTTCGGATCGTTAGTGGTGTAATCGGTCGCCCATTTTTTGTGATTTTGACACACTTTTTTTTATTGGTCATGTTGGCAAAACAAATCGGCCAATTTTGTCGTTCGGCCGATTTTCGCGGCAATGACGGACAAATCGGCCGATCTTTTTTTCGATTTTAAAAAATGTGCATGAGCAGTGACCAGCAAGAAGAAGGAAAAGAAGAAATAGAATATGAATAAGAAGAAAAAGTAAAAATAGAATAAGAAGAAGAAGAAGAAAAAGAATATGAATAAAAAGAAGAGAAAAAAAAAAAAAAAAAAAAAAGAATTTCAGTCCGATATTATATTTGACATTTAAAAGTATAGCAACATTGTATCTATTTGTATCCGAATAGAAACATCTGTATCCGAAATGGAAACAAATAGATACAATGTTGCAACTTTTTCTTCTTCATGTTCGATTTCTTCTTCATATTCTATTTCTTTTTTCTGCTTCTTATTCATATTCTATTTCTTTTTTCTCTTCTTATTCATATTCTATTTCTTCTTTTCTTATTCATATTCTATTTATTCTGTCAAATATAAAATAGTGGAGCTCTCTGCAGGGACACCGCTATTATATTTGCCGGCCGTAGACGGGACGAGAATCAGCCAACTTTTTTTCTACCAATGGTGGTAACGTCGGCCGATTGAACGACCGATTTTTCGTTTTTCTAAAAGAAACAGCCGGTTTTCTCCCCGTCTATGGCCTGCATAAGTGTCCTTGAGAGCTTTGACTACTGTGTGTTCCCCTGCTCATAAATGAGTGTTCTAAATGACAGTTCAACTCGATTCTGACATCCATTTTGTTCTGTGCACTTTGAAGCTATACAGCTTATGATCTACCAAACAATAAAGGGGGCATAGAGGATTAGCAAAGCTAAGAATCATGAAAGAAATGTAATCGTACATAACTGAGAAATAGCTGAATGCACAGTGAGAAGATCACACAGAGATACCCTTTAATAGCGCTGTCAGGCTGCCTGTTGCTTTTGATAATGAAGTAAGAAGAGCGTGGGCTGAAAAGAGAACAGAGCTGGCCAACAATTTGCTCTTGGTCATGGCTGGAAAGTAGAGATAAGAAGAGGGATTCCCTTATACTCCTACACACATCATCACGCCCAAGTCTGACACACTGAACCTGCACTTAGCCTGCTGTGAGCAAGAGGGCGTGTACCAGGGGTTCCCCATACTGATAAGCAGGATGACATAAGACTAGCAGCTTTTATGTATGGCACGCACACACCAGCCCGATCGGAGGTACCCTGCTCACAACACCAAGAATACACAAACATGGTGGGGAAGGGCTAGCAGAAAAACAAACACAATAGGAAGATGAGCTAAAGGAGATAAGACACAAAAAGGGAGAAAAGAAGGACAACTATAGATCGCAAGTGTGGCCATTTAAAAACCCAGCTGATAACGACACGTGATCAACAGCTATGTGCAATATGGGGCCTAATGTAAAGTTCAAGGAAATCCAAAAAATGACTGTGTAAATACTGTATGTTATAAGGTCATGACTGTGCAACTGTAAAAATAGGACCCTTTCTTCACAGTAACAGTTCCACAGGCTTTAAAATAAAGAAAAAAACAAAAAACAAGATGTACTAAAAGTAGATATAAACCCATTCAGCACATCTCTCCAACACATGCATTTCTCCAATACATACAAAATGTATGACCAAACAATGCCGGTTGATCCTGCCAGAAATGCAATAAGCTTCTAACTTCCTGATGTACTGAAATTACAACTACGGTTGTCAGCCATGCACAGTTCTCCTACACGGACTACTAAACATTTTCCTAAATCCAGAAGGGACAAACCTTCAAAGAATAAGGAACATTTTAGGCACTATACTAAACAATAAACATAGATAAAATCTAAAAAATTTTTCTTAAAGTATATTAAGTAAGGTGGACCAATTAATCCACCAATTGTACACAAATGTATAAAACATAACCAGCAGTTCACACAATTGTATTTGATGATTCCATGTCCCACTAAGAACGCCGACGCATTTCGCAGTTCACATCTGCTTCTACAAAGGCTTTGCCGGGATCGTCACAGTGTTCAATTACGATACATTTTTTTTTGTTTCGAGAGAACAGTATACACCAATGTCTGCTGCCCCAGCAGGAGATGTCACATCATATACCCATTGATCTTCCCCCCACCACAGGGGGCAGGGAGGAAAACACAGGCCAGTGTTGGCCACTGGGCCAAACAGAGGAGAAGAGGGGATGAAGACCACCACAAACCAAAAATTGGCCCACTGCTATCTGCCACCAACCTCCAAGCCACAAAAAATGGCGGGTAAATATAACTGCTCAAGCACTCTGATGAGGACTATGGAGATAATCAAGCCCAGCTCCTCATGGTCAATAACAAGGTCGGTCCATCAAATAATGCAAAAGCCCAGTGATACTAAACACATTCCCTTGATGTTGCGGAGATTTGGAAAGAGACTTCCTGTCCTAGGATGACAACATTGCTGCTACAGTACAGTGATTGAGCGTTGTAACCCTAGGACAGGAAATGTGCTACTGGCAGGGTCACCAGGTGAAAAAGGGAAAAGAGCCTGAAAAAATACATGAATGCAGCCACCACATCTAAGGACTAGTAAACTGCAATACATACCATAACAGCAGGTGGGGGATCTTCTCCCTGCACCTGCTGTCATAATTTAAAAAAGCACAGCCACGCGGTGCTCTGCCCAAACAGCCATATCATTCCTTCACAACAGATTTCTGTGAATGAAGTACAAAGGCTGACAGATTGTAGTTCTCAATGAACTGAGAGGGTGCTGGTGAGCGTTCTGGTAGTTCATTGATTCATCCTGCAATTCAGTAACAGCCTGGCTGTACAAGATATGGGCAAACAGTATACTGAGAAGTCTGTAGAAGCCTGGCATTGCAGATTGTGGGTGCAATACTTAAAAAGCTCCAGTGTATTATATATATATATATATATATATATATATATATATATAAAAATATATATGCGCATCAGGTTTGCTTTAATCCCCTTCCCAGACAGCATATATCTTTCTTTCACTACTTTCCTTCTATATATTGCCTTTAAAACCTCTTTACAAATGTCATTCAAGCTGATCGAAATGCAATGCTGTGAGGCCCGAGTGTAGCTGCACACAATGCACACTCCTTTCCTCTGAACATTTCGAATAGTTCTTTATAAACACCCACCTTAATCAACAGCTCACGGCTTAATGAGTGGTTGTTCTCATCCGAAAAGATTTCGGAAAGCTCCATAAATATCCGAAAGCTCTCCCTGAAAACAAGAACAAAAAATGACTGTTGGTGGTACATTAAGAAGGGCTGATTAAATGCACAGCTATGTGAGAAAGTGCTGATGAAAACCATCTAACTTAAGAAATGACATTATACTTATTCAGGTAAGTTAAAAGCAAGGCAGAACTTGGAGTTATACTGAATGAGGAAAGAACAAAGAGAGGGCGCACAGGCCTAGTGCATTACCATAAAAAATGTTTAATAAGAAATAAAATAGGTGTTGTACTCACAAACGACAATAAAGTCAAGGCACATCATAAAAGAACAGCTGGGTCAACACCACGCTGAGTAACAGTCCGTAATGGGGAATGTAGACATCCAATAGGCTGACGCGTTTCGAGGACTTGCCTCTTCCTCAGAGCCACTGTGTCTCTGACCCAGCTGTTCTTTTATGATGTGCCTTGACTTTATTGTCGTTTGTGAGTACAACACCTATTTTATTTCTTATTAAACATTTTTTATGGTAATGCACTAGGCCTGTGCGCCCTCTCTTTGTTCTTTCCTCATTCAGTATATTTGGATTCCCCCGGTCTGTTGAGGGCAGCAAGGGTGTGCATGTTCCAGGACATTCTTAATGTGGTTGCAGCATGCATCGAGTCCATCCCCAAGCGCAGGAGCATTTGTGTTTGCTGGTTCATAGAACTTGGAGTTACGCTAGGGTTACTACTTTTTAAACACATTGTTCTGTCTTATCAGATTAAAGATCTGATGCAAACATAGACATGATGGTTCATCCTCACCTAGAAACTTCATCCCAGGTCTTCTTCAGCCTGTGAATGGCATTACATTGAAGAGCTGACAAGATGGCACGCAGTGAGGAGAAATTTTTCAGAATACGACACTCCTAGAGACAAAGAGATTTATGTTTAGTCAGCTATTTAAATGCTGATATTGATAATCAAAAGTTATTTTTGAGAGTACAGCTAAGCAGGTATGTGTCACACGTACCCTGGCTACGTCTATCCATCGCTCTATAATCTTGACTCTCTGCTGGGGCTTCAGCGACCGGTCGCTCAGGCACGTGGATATGACGCAGTTGGTGACGCTATTGAACTGGGAGACGGTGGCGCGGATGGTTGGTGCCAGGTGTTCTTTGCCTTTCTTATCTCTTTGGGACCAAATGCAACCCAAGCAGTGGTAAGGTACCACCTTCTTGAAGAGATCCTAAAATAAAGACCAGCAGGATTATGAGAATAGAACCAAACTATGGCAAATGTAGAAAGGGTGGGGGGGACCAAATGCAACCCAAGCAATGGTAAGGTACCACCTTCTTGAAGAGATCCCAAGAAGAAGACAAGCAGGATTGTGAAAATATAACCAAACTATGGCAAATGTAGAAAGGGGGGGAGTTAGAGAAATCAAAGGTGGAGGTTTAGTGACATGGCCATTAAATTACTTCAAATGTAACTAGTACAGATGTATTTATATACTACATATGAAACGTGGTTGTAAACTCAAGATTGTTCCTCCGTTTTTCCTTTTCGATAGATTATTTACTTATTGAGCTACATTCAAAGATGTTCCAACATTAATGTAACTAGACCAAGTATGGCTACAGTTCCTCCAAATCAATGACCAAGGATGGAAATTTTCTTACTCACTACTATGGACATTTTAAAAAAGGTGTAGTGAAAGTATCCTAAAAATTGATGTTATACGTCATGACCCTGCCTACAATATTAAATACATTGGAAAACATTAAGAGGAGATACATGGAGGCACCTTGTGCAGAACTTACAGCATCCATGACGGTGAACTGTTCAGCCACCATATCCTGCCGGAAAGACAGGAAGTCCGGCTTCGGCTCTAAGAGCGAGCACTCGTCCAGAAGACGGAAAGTGCAACTTGAGTGATCCAAAACTGTAAGATGAGATGGGAAGGTTATGTAATGTATATAATAGAATAATAATAATGGAAATATGTTCCAGCAAGCATTTAAAAACTGCAAGATCACAACAAACACTCACAAATTAGTACTCAATAACAAGAACTCTTTATTGTACGAGTCAATAACCATTTGTGAAATACGCTTTACCAACTTTTAGACAATAACCCTTCAGATATTCTTAGAATTTGCCCAAATTCAGAAGTGTGTCAAGTATTCCCCCACACCACTCACCATCCTGATCCACTTCGCTGATCTCTTGCCGCTGGAACTGGGTTAAAAGATTGCGCGCTCTGCGCTCCAGGTCCGAGCCAGGGATATTGTGCCGCACATAAGCGATAAGCTGCTTTAAACAGACGTAATCGGGTGCTTGCCGAAAATCCTCTGAATACTGGTCCAGCCATGCTCCCAAGATGGAGGAGATTGTGCTGGAGGAGAAATTGAAAACATGGATTTGGTTTTATGCAACAGAGGTCTGAAGAGGAAGAGAATAACATGGTCTGTATTCCTAGAGATAACAATGCTTACAAAAGTGGAGGAAAAGACTGAAGCATGGATTTTCCTTTCTGTGTAGAACATCCTTAATGCAGATTCACAACAATACATATTTGAGCCAATTAGCGCATCATAAGTACAGTATTACACAATGTTGGAAGAGGAGTTCCAGGCACTGTATATTTTTACATAGTTACATTGGTCAAGCTTGAGCCAATGTACCTATGTATTTCCCATACCTGGCTGATACCCCTGGAAGCTAGAAATTGCTGACGTAGATGCTGCTACTCCAGCAATTTCCACTTACTTCCAAGTTTCTTGCTGAGCAGCTGGCCTGATGTATTGTTAACACAGGAGGTCAGCATTGTGAACACAGAGGTAAATTAATTACACATAGCCTAATTTCTGAACTTGTTTTGCTGTCTTTGTATGTATGGATTGCATGGATTGTTATCGTGGTGAAAATTTCATGTCAATAGCACCTTTAGAAATATATTTACCTAGAAAAAAGGCGATGTGCTCAAAACTTATTTTACCTGCTGTATAATTATACTTTATTCATAGAAACTAGGTTTTTAAAACCATTAATGCCCAACTATATTACTTACAGCACCTTCAGCTGGTCTCTATCAAATGTATGTCTAAGAAAAAAATAAAGAATTCTACTATTCCCCGTTCTGTACTGTACATTGAGGATCATAAAAAAAAATCCAGTGTACTTATCTTGTCGATAAAAGCCACATGTGCAACATAGGGTGTAATATTTGCTGCACAGGGAAAGATTAAACTGAAAAGGTACATCTCTGGAGGGCAGCAGCAATGTGAATGGAAGATTGTGTAGACATGTATTTCTACTAATCTGCAGTTTCCAGCCTTAGGAAGCCAGACTATAAGCCGTTTAAGATGGGGCTTTCCATGACAATGTCTGGATCATGCTCCCACCAGCCCTCTGCCTTTTGATCTCTGAAAAAGAGGATGCTGAAGCAGCTACAGGAGTACAACTGCTGAGGAAGCAAAGGTTTTCTTTTGGAAAGTTTGAAATATTTCTGTTAAATCGACAATCTATTTGTAGCTGAACAATAAAACTAAATCATACAGAACAAAAGGTTTTATACGTACCATGTGAAATTGAAAAAAAAAAAAAAAAAAATGGCCATTATTTTAAGAAAAAGGCAAAAAGTGCAGTAATCAACAGCTACCCATTACATTTAATGTTTCACCATTTTACAATAATCAAAATGATCGGTGTCAGCTGATTAGCCAACACACAGAACATTGCTTATTACAATATTACATTATTGCTGCACATTTTGGTCTGTATAAATTCTCATCTTTATTTAAAGATTTTTCAATAACAACCATAGGAGCACAATGCATTAACTGGTGATTTACAGAACAGTTTATGGAAGACAGGCAATAAAGTGCTATCAACCGCGTCGATTCGTAAATCTAAATAACTGTAAGTATTGAGAGCATCAAATGAACTGCAAGACATAAAGGACTGAGCTCTCAGCGAGTATAACTTATAAAAACGATGTTTCAAAGGTTCATCTCAAGTAATTTCATTTAACTAAAACAGTGGTCCCCAAACTTCAGCTCTTTACTTCACATTAACTGGCCCTTAGGGAACTCTTTCTCCCACTGACACTAAAAAAAGGGACAGAATTATTCTCACTGACACAAATAATGGGGTATAATTATTCATCTTGACACCAATGATGGGGCACTTTTCCTCCCACTCAAACCAAACGATGAGGCATCATTCATTCCACTGACACCAATGATGGGGCACTATTCCTCCCACTGACACCAACCTTGAGCACTATTCCTTCCACTAACACCAATGATGGGGCACTATTCCTCATCCTACTGACCACAGGTGCCATGTAATTTTTTTTTACGTTTACTGAGTGTCAAGCCTGAGACACTGTCTACTCCCATTGATGCTGGGGCATTTTCTTCTACCAAGGTTCACAGTCCGCCCCCCTAAAGTCTGAAGGATTGTGAACTGGCCTTTTATTAAAGACGTTTGGAGACCTCTGAATTAAAAGAAGAGATTAAAGCTGGCCAAACAGAGTGATTGGGCTATTTCTTCTACATGGGTGGTCCTTTAGGCTCTCTCCAGTCAAACAGACAAACAACAACTGCACCCAATCAGATGCAACTGCTGTTTTGGCATTCTGATAGCCATTGGCATCAACTGTCAGTATACAATCGTCTAGCAGGAGGGATTCATCCATCCATGTGGTTAGATTCAATGCATGAAAAATATCTAACAGTGTATGGCCAGCTTAAGAGGGAAGAATACCTTTGATGTAGGTTTTGAAGAGGCACTCAAAGTGGAGAAATGGGAGCTATGCCTTACTGAAACATGAGTCTCAAAAAATGGTGTCTCCGTTTCACCTAGATGTGTATTCTACTAACAAAAATCAGCTATTAGTGCCAGTTGGTTAAGGCCAGCTCCCCCATATACTGCTGAGTGCCCATTCCTCATTGATGGCCTATATTTTGTTTATAGAACTAAACATATAATTATTCAAATTAACCAGTCCCTGTGTTTCCAGGGCAAATTTACAAAGGTTTGTTAAAAGTCCATGGTTTTTCATGTGTTTTTGAGTACAGGAAGGCCAACCAAGATTGGTGTAACCTACTTTTTTAGTTCAAGCCGGTCATCCACAGTGTTATGGGAATGTTCGCCATTGAGCTGAGGGTGGAGGCGCCCAAACCTTGACAAAAAAAAAAAAAAAAAAAGAAAAAAATTAAACTTAGTTCTGCATTTTACATTTCTGCCTGACAAACATCCACTGTTCCTTTAAGAAGCTTTTTCTGAGTAGAACCTGTTGTACTAGATTTGTCTGAAGTGAACTTCACACCCTTATTGAACTTTGAATTATTTAAACACATGGCATGAATGTAACAAAGTTTTACTGGATTGCTCATCATCAATAAAATTATAGATCTGTGATCAGTTGACGGACAGTTATGCAATCATTATCTAACACAATTGGCTCATTTGTTGCTCATTTTGTTTTGTGGTTTCAGGGGAAACTCAGCTAGGTGCAATAAGAGATAAATGTAAACGGAGGAAACATTTTCGTTGCATATATCAGATTCCTTGGCAACCCAGTCTTTACCCCAAGTTGGGATGTTCTTAAGCTGTAAAAATTGTTGCACAGTGCCTTGAGATGATAAAAAGCAATCATTGTGCCAAAAGTTTTTCCACTCAGATTCCTTCCAATAACATAGGTGTTGATTTACTAAAACTGGAGAGGGCACAATCTGGTACAAGTCTGCATAGAAACCAATCAGCTTCCATTTTTTTTTCCTGAAGTTTAATTGAACAATTTGAAGTTAGAAGCGGATTGGCTACCATGCACAGCTGCACCAGATTTCGCACTCTCCAGTTTTAGCAAATCAACCCCAAAGTATGAACTAAAACAAGCTCATGAACATTAATTGTGGACCACCCAGTCTGACTTAAACTTGTATGTCCACATCTATCAGACTTACGGTCCTGTGTCCAAGCCACACCAAAATGTGGCTACCTTGTCCAATATCCTAACAAAGATATTGGCCATGGGTGCCATCTTCATCTAAATACAACTTAAGTAATAGATTAGATTCATTACAGCTGGGCCCTTCATACTGGTCAACCCAATCCAAATCAATCTAGTCTCATCACATCAGACTTAAGACTTAAAGCTTGGGGTTCCAAAATAAAAATTGAATCCATCCATCTATCTCACTCACTTGTTTAGTAACAAGTCCAGCACTTGCTTGGTGGTAGCGAAGGCCCGGTACGTGCACAGGAAAATGGTGACGTAAGTGGAGTCATTGCCCTTGAACGCAGAGACCAGGTATTCCACCAGCTTCTCCAGACTCCCGGCTTTGATGGTCCGTACTTTGCATGTCTCGTACAGGCTCAGCCCCGACTCATTCTCAAACTGCATTGGAAGGAAGAGATAAAAAAAAAAAAAAAAAAAAAGCACATTATGTTAATCAGTTCCATAACTTCATATTTGGGATGGCCTGCCTTAGGAATTAGCAATGACCTGTTAATGCCATCAGCTGGTAAAAGAGCAAGATGTTAGACAGCAAGCATCAGACATTTACAAACAAGCAGCCCAAGTTATATTTGCATGAAAAAGGGGGTTCTGTGCAATGCAGTCAGTGGCAGTGTGAAGGGTACTGTATTCATATTTTAACTTTCAAACAAGAAACTTCAAAAGGAAAAATAAAAGCAAAATGCTGATGTTGATTACCATAGTGTACAGCAGTGTTTACTGAACACTTATCCAGAAGCAGTATTAGGAAAAGGGATCAATACCCCTTGTCGCAAAGCCACCTTTAAACAACCCTGCTCCAAATTTTAATTTTTTAAGTTTTTAAGCTCTACATGTGGATATAGAGTTTGGCTATTGATGTCAGCCCCTCAGTCTCTGCAGGCCTTTCTTTCTGATCTCTATGCCATATACACACACACACATTCTCTGATCCAACAGCTACAGAAGGAACAGTTCTCAAAACGCCTGGAAGAACCAGGTACAGTGAACCCTTCAAGCCTCTATGGAAAGGAGTATGAAGGCTGCCATCGAAGACCTGCTTCTGAAAATGTTCCTCATCATCCAGTCCCTGGTTTTATTACGTTCTGATACAATGAGGACAAAGCATGCAGATCAAGAATTTCAGAGTGAAGTCTGAATTCCTAAGTATGACTTAGTACATTCTAAAGCCATGGGTCACAACAGCCAGGTAGCCTTTATGGTTCCGCTATACCAGACTTTCTCAACCAGGATGCCTTCAGGCTTTTCCAGGGGTGCCTTGCAAAATGCTTAAAAACTGGCCAAAAATTGTATCCAAGCCAGATTCTTGATCAAGCCTGCCTTTTAGTTACACAAAGACAGGTTTTTATTGCACACTTTTACAACCAGCCAGATGCTGGCATCCTAACAACCAATTACATCATCAGATGATAAGGAGGACTTCGTGTGTCTGCAGAGCATCCTTGTTTGCCCCTCTCCTTCAGCAGTGGGGTCACATTAGCTGAGTGAGGGAGAGAAACTGAGGAAGAAACATTGGAATACTAGTCAATACTAGTTTGAAATGTAATATTTGCTTTGGAAGAATAAATCACTTCCAATGATGGGTGTCCTACATGTGTGGATGTTGCTGCATTATATAAAACTATTAGAATAGTTTTTTTTACATTTTAGGGTGCCTTGAAATTGTGCAGAATGTTAAAGGGTGCCTTGAGATTGTCCATAATTTTAAAGAGTGCCTTGATTGCAAAAAGGTTGAGAAACATTGTTCTTTACAGATTACCCTTAATGCACTAGGGTGGCACCCAATGTCCTAAGTATTACGACTTAAGTGAAATAATTGCCGATAATAATTGCACTTACAAATAGTTCAAATAGAACATACATATCATAGCTTCCAAGGTAATAGAAATTGAATATTCAACAGATCAGGAGTCTTCAAAACTGCTAAGGAACCCATAAGGCTTCACATAATCACAATGGGTTCCTTAGCAGTTTGAAGATTCTCCATCTGTTGAACACCCAATAGCTGTTACCCTTGCAACTATGATAAGCATGATCTAAGTGCAATTATTATCTTCAATTATTTTCCCCAAGGTGTCCCACCTAATTCACTGGGGGGGGGGGGGGGGGCACCCAATGTCCTACTTACTTTTGTACAGTTGGTTTCTTTCTTACCTTTGTGAATTTGGTACTATTACATTGTTGTGTTAAGCCTAACTGACCCGCTGGCCAGAAGCTAATACTTTTAGGCTCCAATCACACTGGCTTACAGAAATGCCAGTGTCCTTGGCAGGAAAAAAAAAAAGCTCATTTTGAGCGCTTTTTTGTTCTAGCGTTTAAGCAGTGCTTAAGAGTTTTAAGCATTTTATTTCTGCCAGGAAAACGCTCTCAAAAATGCAAAAGCAGAATGCTTTTAGAGGCAGAACGATAACCACCTCTACAAGTAGTGCTTTTTTTTACGCCAGTGTGCTTGGGACCTTATAATGTTTTTTTGGAAACAAAAAAAAAAAAAAAAGATCAATTTCTGGATAATTTGATTAAATTACATGACGCGGTGGCAAGAAAAAGTAACAAATATCACACCATTAAACTGATATACAGATGATAGAGTAGGGGAGAATTAAAACGATCCAAAAATGGCTTGTACGGTGTACAAAGTTAAAATGTAATTCAGTTCACAAGTATGACAGATTGAAACTGCAAAAAAAACAGTAGGTTGTTTGACATTTCATTTTTCTTTTTTTGGTTTTTTTTTTTTTTATTTTTCTCAAAGTGCATTCCTGAAAGGCTTGAATACCTACAAGGTCTATGGAATGCTGTCGGTAGCATGCTATTACTGCTGTCATTGTTAGTCAATGCCATTACCTGCTGACACAGTGCACAAAACCTCCACATGAGTTTCAGGAAACAGATTAAATTTGTCATGTTCAAAACATACAGATATGCAGAATGTGAATGTTTATATAGAGGAACAGCATTATAGCTTTGTTTTCAGATCAGTATATCAGTTTTGAAATCCCTTTGTCTGAGGTTAAGTCCCTTGCCAGCTTTTTGAAGCTATATGTGGCAGGAAATCGCTCATTCCCCATTGTGTCCATAACATACCAAATTTGGGTTTAGGCCAAGGCTGGCCATACACTGAAAGAATTTCGGATGGTTCCTAAAGAACTGGATGAAATTTGCTTTGTGGGTGGCCCTATTGACACTCTCCCGCCCAACATCCCTCCACTAAAAAAAAATTGAAGTAGCCGAGCAAACATTATCAGCCAAACAGTGCCTGCATCCAATCAGATGCAAACACTCTTCAGGTATTCTGACAGCCACTAGTGCTGGCTGTCAGAGTAGAATAGATGCAGTAACAGATTTGCCCATCCACGCTGTATATGATTTCACCCTGGCTTATGGAGCAGAACAGATCCGGATAGTCAACTTCAATCCTCCCCTTTGGTAGAGATCATGTTCTCACATTTGATCATGTGATCAATGCTCTGGCATTTGGTCATGTGATCAACTCTGGAGGGAGCTTGAAAAATAGTTATGCACAGGAAAGATATTTTAAAGTCCAAGTTAACCTTTTACAAAAAAAAAAAAAAAAAAAAAATATATGCACATATTTTTACAGGTAAAAAAAACGTGCATTTATTTTCTTTTCTCTGGAGCCTGCAGAACAATGCACCCGTGATCAGCAGACCATAGGGTGCAATGTCAGGCTCCTGCAGAATCTCCGTATAGCTGTCTGCCTGTACCTGCATGGGCAGTTACTGGAGAGCAGGAAGATCAATGAACTATGAGAGTGCTTATCAGCGCCCCTCATAGTTCACGGAGAACTACAAGCTGTCTGCCACTGCGATAGTTGTAGCTCATTCATTCACTGATCACCTTTTTAAAATCGTGACAGTAGGTGCTGAGAGACTATCCCCTATCTGCTGTCACAGCGGGGTATTTGGGGGTGGGGGCACAGCCAGGTGCTCTTTGGTAACATTTTACACATTAAAAATACGGGTGTAACATGTTGCCGAAGGTGAACTTATCCCGTAATGCTTCTTTTATTTATTAATTTAAAGGCAGCTGGAAAGGAGGAGGTGATTATTTCCGTATAGCTTTGCGTTAATAATGCCGACCTACGGCTTTCCTTGTGTTCTGCAAAGCATTCTGGGAGAAATACTCAAATTAGCGGGACAGCAACAAATCCCCCATCATGTAGATGATTTTAATTTATGACAGGATATGATAAGCTAAGTGTAGCCTTCCTTCCTGGTGTGAATGTCATAGCTGTAACGTGCTAAATGTGTACATTGCCATAAGTTATATCACTCTAGTCCTCTGGGATACAACGGAATGTGTATACTGTATAGTTCATTTCCCCTACATACCTTTTCTCAAGTGTGTTTTATTTTACCCTTCCGTCCCTGGGTTCTATAAACTAAAACCGCTTCCCCTGAGACTAGCACAGGTCAGGATCCTCAATGGACTGAGTTACTGTAAAATCTTGGCTGACCTCCACTTGGCCGGCACATGGGCCCGCTCCCGCCCTGTCCCTGACATGGACTCTGTCTGGCTGAGGTAAGACTAATGATACAAGCAGTTTATTTCAACATGGGAGTCAATTTTTCATGTTACAGCTGGAGATTATACAGTCTAAAGAACAAAGAGAGCCCTCCCTCTACTTTAACCCATTACAGCTGTATTTCTCAACTTGAAAATGAGGACCCCTTTACAAATGTGGATATGTGCTCCATGTACTTCACTGTATGGGTCTACTTCGTTCAGGTATTGCATATGTACCTACATCTATGAACCTGTATAGAAGTTCATGTTAGATAATCTCATGTGATAATATTAACTTTTGTTAATTACTTCCAACACCTATCACTTTCAGCCATGGGAGCTGCCATTTTGGCCTCTGTTTGATCTGCAACTGCCATGGTGCTGCCCATGTGATCAGTTATGACTCCAACCATTTGATGGTTTGACAGTTTGGTTGAGAACACAAATGTAATAGTTAGCCAGGAATTTAACTGTTTTTCGTAACCAGCGTTAAACTTCTGATCTGTTTTATATACCATGACGTCACCACAGCAATACCTTGTGCCACAGTGAAGCTACTAATCCCTAGTTAGAGTACACCAATCATGATATGGGAGATACCAATGCTGGCCTTCTGCATATGCTAGCTTTCCTGCCATGCCGTTTCAAAGCATCTAAACGACTAACCTGCAACAAGCATGTAGAAAATAAAGTGAGAAAAAAGTCTGAATATTTTATCTCTATATAACTCCAGGTCAGTGACTGCCATGGGTATCTAGTAGGCTTGTAAAACCCTGGTGCCAAACCTTCGACCCTTTATCTGCAGTCTTCGGGGCTTTTTTTTTTTTTTTTTTTTTCTTATTCAAGCCAGTGAAGGAAAAATATTCTTTAGAGTGGCTTCTAGAAGCTGAACTCCAGTCCAACTTACACCAGTGTCCATGGTCCAAAACATGAGTCCGAAGTGACAGCAGTTACTTGACATAGCAGCAGATAACATACAAGCATTGAAAATTAATGTACGGATTAAACAATTATGGAGGTTCAGTTTAGCAGACATTGCTCATCACGTGCAGACAAAGCAAGGCTCAGCCAGGATGGAGCCATGATTAGATGGGTATAAGGTAGCTGCATGAAAGTGTATGGGGAACAGCCGCCATGACTGAAGTGTGCAGTGGATTATTAGAGATAGCAGAATACATTACTTGGACTGCAGGAGAACTATAAAAATAATTTTTTTCTGTATCAAAACCTTTATGTGACTTTAAAATTTCAGTCACACTATCATTGTCTGGATATTTAAATTACATAGCCAGACAGAATAGGTCTTCGGTATGTTTTTTTTGGGTATGCAGGGGGCCGTTTTCCTGCTTGGCTAAGCTGCAGTGGTATGGTCTATTATTGTTTTAGGTCATTATAGGAAATCAAAACAGCTGCCAAGTAAAGTTCAAATTTAGATGATCCAACAAGCAGCCATTACTATAGTGAAGTCAACATGCAGTATTCCATAGAAACCAATTCGTTGTAATTTTTTACTGAACTTTACTGAAATCTGCACATTCCCAGTGGCTATTTTTGTCTGTTGGAACCAAATTCTCCTGAGTATGTCCAATTTGTGTGTGACAGGCTTGAGGGTCGTTTTAGTTTATAGACAGACATGGGTGGGCACAAACAGGTGTTAGTGAAAACAAAGCTGGCAGATCATAAATATGATGGCTCGTTCCTGCTTTCCTCTGTCTGCCCTGACCACATAATTAATGGGAATCATTTTATGGAACCCAAAGAGGCCCCTCCGCCTCCCGCCATCCCAGTTTAGCACTAGCCCTGTCTTCCTCACCGTGGTATCCCGGGGTCCGGCAAGCCCGCCTTCCGCAGTGCCCATGGGAGACGGTACCCTGCTTACCCCCAGCCATCGCTGCCCCTTGTTGGCGGTGTGGTGGAGCTGCACTTTGCGGAGGGAGATGCTGTAGACAACACCGTCATCCACCTCTTCTCCAATCTCCTGCGCGGAGCTCTGTTAAGAAGAAAGAAAAAAAAAAAAAAAAAAAAAGGGTTAATTATGCTCATCAACCTTCTACACATTGAGCATTTATGTGAGAAAATTAGACAGTACTAGGCAGTTGCCTTGTTTTATGCCCAAGTTCAATTGTCCCCCCTCCCACGCCCATTTATGTCATTACCTCTGCCAGACAGACCACAGTGATCCCTGATGCCATACTCTGATCTGTGACAGTTCCATGCTCGGGTACGGATAGCGATTACACAGATACGTACCATGCATAAAGTCCAAAAAACTGTGTCCCAGCCCACCTTGTCTAGTGGGCCAGGGCACAGTAAGCTGAACCGTGCCAATCATGGACACAGAGATCATATTAGTCAACAGAATTGGACTTCGGGTCAAACGTGCCCATGTATGGTACTATTTGCCTAGTGTGAGGACACTCGTAGTCTGCCCACAGAGGTCATGGCAATTTCCGTTATCACTGCCTAGCTACAAAGGCCAGTTGGTTGGGGTGGTTGCCATTTGTCTGTACTGTTGGTGTATTGGTGAGGGGACATAATGGATACCTTTTGCCATTGTGGTATTGCTGGGTGTCCACTGTGTCCCTATACCTTTAAAGGAGGGGAGGGCTCCCTCCAGGCATACTTGCCCTCAATCTATCCATTATTATATATATATGCTTCAACTTTAAAGGCTCTAAAAAATTTATAGAGTTAGGACTGCAGTAAACTGGGGTGCCGTGGCCTCTGCAACACATATTTGCAAATGTGTGCAAACTTAACCCTCTGTTTTTAACATGAACTGTTAGACAAGGGTAATTCAATTTGTTGTAGGCTAGCTGGTAAGTGAGCTGGGAATTTAGGTTTGTTGTTTTTTTTGACATGCGTCGCCCTTCCATGGGCTCCTCGAAAGGCCAGCTATAGGTTGGCATCGTTACCATTTGTTTGTAAGGAATTAAAGAAAACTACATTACTAGGAATATGGTTTCATTACTCAAATACATACCAATAAAAAAAGCAGCACATTAGCCAAAATGCTTATATGCGCAATGGACCCCAGTCCCCTAAGACACCATCAGAAATCATCCTTCATTAATCTGACTACATGAAGTGATGAAACCAAAGCTCTAGTAGGTTGCCGTGGTTCACAGCCCCTTACAGTTCACATAACAGTTATGTAGCTTCTCAGTCTCTGAGTTCTGTTGAAAATCCACTCTCCAATGGAGCTTCTTTCTCAATGGAAACTTCAGTAATCCTCTCTCACAATGTAATCGGATCCGCGGCCTCCCTGATAATGACACCCACTAGAACGTGTCCACAGCAGCTGCCAGTCACCAGATGGCCAAGAAAGGCGCATCAAATAATAAACAAAATGCGATTACTCCATAAACCTGTTAAGGGATTAAATGGCTTTTGTTTTTGTATGTTGTTTTTTTTTCACTGCCATTAATACTAAAGACTTGAAAAAAATACAGATTCTTTAAAATCCAAGGAAATAGATAGATTGCAAGCTCTTAAGCCAGATACACTAAAAGAAACACATTCCTTGTATAGTACCCATTGCTACACAGTTATAAACTTGGTGAGACAATAATATTACCACTTAATCGACATTCCGCTCTTCACAAAGCAAACATACCATTCACGCATTTTCTGAATTGCCTCTTCTCACTTCCTGAGTGCCCCCTTCAAAGCTCAACACTGTGCCAGGTGCTCCGACACTCTCTTACAAAAAGGAGCATGGGTGGCAAATAGACCAGAAAAAGCCAGGAAAGATGATGAAAATGTCACCAGAGCCCACGTTCCAGGAAAAGGAATTCATTATGAAGTGGGCAAGAGAGTAACTTGGCCCTTGTTACCCTCTTATACAATGTACAGGATGGAATGTACAGGTTGTGTGTAGGTTATGGAACGCCCCATCACTCCACCTGTGAGACCTGGAGCTAAAGGCAGAGATTTCCTCCTTCTGTGCCATTACTGCACTTAACCCTATGCATACCTACCAATATTCTAGGACGGGATAGGGCACAACATAGCACAAATGTCTCCTTTATATCAACTTTAAAAAAAAAAAAATGAAATAAATTAGAGGCTAGATGAAAAGTTTAGTGAAGTATAAACACTTTTTAGATTTATTTTTTTTTTAATTTTTTTAATAGAGGTCTATTCATTGGACCAAAAAAAAAAAAAAAATAAGGAGGAAGGCCCCTTGCACACAGCATATAGCTTTTGTGAATGCAATCCCCACATTTTAGATCCAGATCCAGAGTCCAACCCCTGCTACCTGCAAACCTGTCAAAGTCTATGGTAGTATGAATTATGTTGTGGCTGGATAGGGTTGAACTCTGTACAGAGCAAGACACGTGTGTAGGGCCCTATGTATTTTGGGATGAATGCCCAGCCTTGAGCTACTTTGGCTCTTAGACTTTCACAGGCTGCAGAAAGTGAGCTGGAAACTGCAACCATGCCTCCCAGGAGCAATAATATGCAGGTATGGCATGCACAGGAGCTGGACACCCCATGTACAAGAGGCCTAAGGAGGAAAGAGGAACTCAGCTGCAAAAGGAGGCCAGTCCCTCTAAATAGGAGGACATTGGGAGCTATGCCTAAACACTACTAGGGAATGATCCACAGTCTTCATATCTCATGTACAATGCTGTGCAAACTCTGACAATAAACAAACATCTATTTCTGAGCAATGGGCAAAGCTGATCTGCAACGACTGAGAATGTGGGATATTCAGCATGAAACCACAGAGTAGAAGACATGCTAATGAGGAAGCCTATGTGACATTTTTTCCTTCTGGCACTAACAAGAGCACAGCTCCCTAAGTGATAAAAAGTATGCGTATCCATTAAAACATGATCAAGACCATGGTTAAAAAAAATAAATAAAAAAAGATTACTTAGTTATGGGTGTGTACACTATTAAGATTTACATTCACTAACTTGTTATGACCCAGGGCATCCAGAGCAAGATAAATCCTAACTCTCTCTGTATAGCTAGTTATACGCAAAGTTCAACAGAGACTGGGCGCACACGCACACACACACACGCACACACACACACACACACACACACACACACACACACACACACACACACACCACACCCCAAAAGTATTGGGACAGCCCTCCAAATCATTGGATTCAGGTGTTCCAATCACCTCCATGGCCACAGGTGTATAAAGTCAAGCACCTAGGCATGCAGACTGCTTTTACAATCATAAGAGGAAGAATGGGTCGCTCTCAGGAGCTCAGTGAATTCAAGCGTGGTACCATGATAGGTTGCCACCTGCGCAATAAGTCCATCCGTGAAATTTCCTTACTACTAAATATTCCACAGTCAACTGTTAGTGGTATTATAACAAACTGGAAGCAACTGGGAACAACAACTCAGCCACGAAGTGGTAGGCCACATAAAATGACAGAGCGGGGTCAGCACATGCTGAAGTGCACAGAAGTCACCAACTGTCTGCAGTCAATAGCTAAAGACCTCCAAACTTTGTGTGGTCTTCAGATCAGCACACTCTTCTCTGTCTGACAATCCAATGGACATGTCTGGGTCTGGCAGTTGCCAGGAGAACGGTACTTGCCTGACTGCATTGTGCCAAGTGTAAAGTTTGGTGGAGGAGAGATTATGGTGTGGGGTTGTTTTTCAGGGGTTGGGCTTAGCTCCTTAGTTCCAGTGAAGGTAAATCTTAAGGTGTCAGCATACCAAGACATTTTGGACAATTTCATGCTCCTAACTTTGTGGGAACAGTTTTGGGGATGGCCCTTCCTGTTCCAACATGACTGCGCACCAGTGCACAAAGCAAGGTCCATAAAGACATGGATGAGCGAGTTTGGGGTGGAGGAACTTGACTGGCCTGACTGGCCTGCACAGCTTCCTGACTTCAATCCAATAGAACAACTTGGGGATGAATTAGAGCGGAGACTGCAAGCCAGGCCTTCTTGTCTGACATCAGTGCCTGACCTCACAAATGTGCTTCTGGAAGAATGGTCAAACATTCCCATAGACACCCTCCTAACCTTGTGGACAGCCTTCCCAGAAGAATCGAAGCTGTTATAGCTGTAAAGGGCTGGCCAACTCAATATTGAACCCTACGGACTAAGACTGGGATGCCATTAAAGCTCATGTGCGTGTAAAGGCAGGCCGACCAATACTTTTGGCAATATAGTGTAGAAACCTATACCCATAATAAGCAATGCATAAGGAGGAACCTCTGCTGCCTGCTATTAAATTAAATACAGGTAGTAGCAACACTCATGGCTGCTTGAATACCCAAACCGTTACCTCAACTAATCGGATGCAGTCACTGTTCAGCCTTCAATTTTTCAATTGAAGTTTGTCAAGCAGGGTGGTGCGGATATGGACAACAACGGCTCAAATCTGGGCCAAACCCTGCTGATTCAACTGCAATTTGAGCTGTGGGTGGTCAACTTTAGTTGCTCATACAATGGACATGGTCAGCTACGTGGAGCTGGACACTCAGGGCGGTGGTGGAATTCCATTTTTATTCTATGTCTTCTGCACAACTAACCACCTACAGCTTTGTTTTTTTTTTTTTTTTTACAGTTTCCGAAGATATCAATTTTTTAAAAATGGAACAATTCTATGCACAGAAGAGGAAGGACCTGTAGCAGCTGAAGTGAAAGGGTTAACGTCAAGATGGTTTTGTTTCCTCATTCTACTGTGGTCACATACACTTTCTGCGCATTCAAGAAATTCCCCAAAACTTCCTCAATCCCTTGTCCTCAGAATTAGGGCGGCCTAATAAAGTTGTAACATTCGGGTTTTGCTCTAACCGCAAATTTACTGAGAGGACTGGTATGGCACAGGTCTAGAACGTAGTTCTATGCAGCGCGTCCCTGTAAAGGAATTTATTAGAAGATCTCTAGAGGAAAACCTGAAATCTCCACTCGCAAGAACGTGTGTAGTTTACAGAGTGAAAAGCCTGGTTAAATGTGAACCTAAGAAGGCCTTGATGTCAGGAAACCAAGCTAACAACTG